AATATGTAATTAACTATTTTCGGTGCGAATTTCAGGCGAAAGATTCGGTCGTGGTAGAGTTGACGACGCTATTACTACGCCGGTAGTTAACACTTCCGCTTATTTCTTTAAAAAAACTGCTGATCTCCTTGATTTCAAGGTACTTACTTGGATTCCATGTTGATTCAAAACGGTTGACTTCAACTTGTAGCGTTATCTATCATTCTTCTCCCTATGTCTATGATTTTTTGCTCCTCAAACATACATCAAAATTGATAGAAAACAATATAAAGAAACTTCAAGATCTTCTTTCTTGCTCTTTATTCCATATTGGATCCATGGCAGGAGAAGCGCGCTGTAAGTTTCGAGTATGGGCGCTATGGAAATCCAACGACAATTGTTGCGGAGGAGAAGATAAGGTTTTGTTTCGGAACTAGTTGTTTGTTTCTTTTGTAATCCTTACCAAATAGCCATGTTTCGGATCAAATAGAATCGTGGTTGAAGCTGTTTTGGTTTTGAACCAGTGCTTTAGAAGGGGCTGAATCTACCCTGATTGTGGCCTCAGGCATGTGTGCCAGCACGATGATGCTGCTGGCGTTGGTTCCGGCTGGAGGGCATATCGTGACGACCACAGATTGCTACAGGAAGACGAGAATTTTTATTGAGACCTTACTTCCCAAAATGGGAATCACGGTATTACAGTTTTGATCTTACTTTTCTTCTTTTTGGTGGTATAGTTAATTATTACGCTAATGCTAGTCTTCTTTAACATTTTTGTGCTCCTTCAATGATTTGGTGTTCAACTTGATCTCTCTCGTTCTGAAATACATAGCCTTTTCCCGCATGCATGCTTCAATTTTTTGGCAGAGTCAGAATAATTTTTGTTTTTGTTTGATGTAATAAGACGGACTCTCCACAATGGTATGATATTGTCCACTTTGAGCATAAGCTCTCATGGCTTTGCTTTGGGTTTCCCCAAAAGGCATCCCTCCAATGGAGAGTGTATTCTTAGATTATACACTCATGACCATTCCCTAAATTAACCAATGTGGGACACTTTCATCCAACACCTCCCCTCGAACAAAGTACGCCTCCCCTTAATCGAGGCTCGACTCCTTCTTTCTAGAGCCTTTTTCGACATCCGAGGATTTGCCAATTTATTGGCACGGCTAAGTTTAGGGCATGGCTCTAATACCATGTTAGATGAACACGACTCTCCACAATGGTATGATATTGTCCACTTTGAGCATAAACTCTCATGGCTTTGCTTTGGGTTTCCCCAAAAGGCCTCACTCCAATGGAGAGTGTATTCTTAGATTATAAACTCATGACCATTCCCTAAATTACTCATGACCATTCCCTAAATTAACCAACGTGGGACACTTTCATCCAACAACACGACAACTTATTTTCTACTTGGCGTTATAAATATAAATATATAAAATAAAAAGATGGTAATCTGCCTTCACCAGATAAAATTGTGCTCAGGATTCAAACAAGTCAACTTTAGGCCCGAAAATTAGAGTAAGCAGCTTTGGCTCATTTGGGGAATTCTATCTGGTCTGGTGTCGTCCCCACTTGGCTACTTCTTTCCGCTAATCTTGAGGCCGGTTTGGGTTGACTTTTTTCTTAATGTGTTTGAACAAGTTTTTCAAATGCAATAAAAAAAAATAGTTTTTTTAAGTACCGAACAAGTATTCTTAAGCTCTTAGCAATTCATTCCAAATAGGTTCTTGATTTACGTTTTACTTCCATCATCCCTAAGTATTTTTGTTTTGGCATGAAAATAGAATTAATGAAGAATGAAAATATGAGCAAATGCCATTTCTTTAGATTTTTTTCTTTAATATTTAAAGAAATAGAATTATAGTTTCCATTTGATGTGTTAGATCCTGTTAACAATCTTCCTTCTCGTTTATTTTTACTGATTATAGAACATCTGAATTCTTTTATTGTTGATAATTTTTTCAATCAGATGGGGTTTGTTATCTTTAAAAAGAAAATTGGATGAATTTGTCTATAAGTTGGTGCTTCATGTTTTGTGCTAGAACTGGGTGGTAGGAAAGCTCTATTCTTTTAGCCAACTTTCTTTTTGATGTTGTGCTAGTTGTGTTTCTGAATTACTGTACAGATTTCAAAAGTTTTAAATAAATAAAATATAATGCAAAAATTAAATTTGAAAACAACATAAAGTTTTTTTTTTTAAAATCTTGTGGTAAAACCATCGGAGGTTGTAGAAATTGTTTATTTGTGCGTTCAAAATTTTGTGTTAATTGCTGACTTGGTAACTATAACTATAACTTGGAATGCAGGCTACCACCATTGATCCTGCAGATATGAACGCCCTAGAAGTAGCTCTGAAAGAGAATAATGTATGACCATGTTCCAAGCTTTTTTTTTTCTTTTAAAGGTTTTCGTGTTTGGACTTGGTGGAAATTGATGTTACCTTTATCTTCCTTCCGTGCAGGTTTCTCTTTTCTTCACTGAATCCCCAACTAATCCATTTCTGAGATGCGTTGACATTAAACTCGTTTCAGAGATGTGTCATCGACATGGAGCATTGGTGTGCATTGATGGTACATTTGCCACACCATTGAACCAGAAGGCACTTTCACTCGGGGCTGACCTGGTTCTTCACTCTGCCACCAAGTATATTGGGGGCCACAATGATGTAAGCCCGCCTGATATGTTCTTTTTTTTTTTTTTTTTGGTTTTATTACTCGAGGAATCGGGATTTAAATTATTAATCAATTAAGAGTTTTGTGAGCATTTTTTCCCCTAACAATGGAATTTACCAAGCATTGTCTTTTAGGTCCTTGCTGGTTGTGTAAGTGGTTCTCTGAAACTGGTTTCCGAGATTCGGAATCTTCATCATGTGATAGGCGGTGCCTTAAATCCAGTGAGTCATTCTCTTATGCTGTTTAATTTTCCATCTTTCACTTATTGGTTGTGGAGTAACGGTTCTTGATGATTGAATCTTCCATTGGTTTCCTGCGCTCATTTTAACCATTTTTTGCGCCAAGCCCTACTGTCTAATTAATTGCTGTTTCTTCATCCTACAGAATGCTGCTTACTTGATTATACGAGGCATGAAGACGTTGCATCTTCGTGTTCAGCAGCAGAATTCCTCAGCTCTTAGGATGGCAAAGCTTTTAGAGGCTCATCCTAAGGTATGCCATTTAATTTATCCAGCTGCATGTTGTTTCATACGTTTAATTTACTACCCACTAATAGACCAAGGCAGTGCAAAGGAACAAAAGTAAAATTCATTATTGAACCTTTAATTCCAAAAGTTATGAAGCGTTGGGGCATCTAATAGCAAGGATGTAATTATAAATGAGTGGTATGCGTTGCATGTTCCTCGGGAGTAAATTAACCAATGTCGCATATCGACACCTAGTTCAATTTATACATTAACTGGATACAATTGTCTGCTCACAAATTCATTTACATTGGATGTGACAAAATTATGTCTCTACTGTCTGCAGATCAAATGTGTTTATTACCCTGGACTGCCTAGTCATCCCGAGCACAATCTTGCTAAAAGGCAGATGACTGGTTTTGGGGGCGTAGTTAGCTTCGAGGTAAGGAAAACGACCGATGATCCATCTCATCATTTGAAGGGTCTGTCCCTGTAGTCTTTTACCCCACCTCCACCAAGTTTGTTTCATTAGTTTCTTCATTCTGGTGCAGGTTGATGGCGATATAACGACCACCATAAAATTCATCGACTCTTTGAAAATTCCATATATTGCTCCATCATTTGGTGGGTGCGAGAGTATCATAGACCAGCCGGCTATAATGTCATATTGGTAAACATACAATTCTGACTTTTGACGCTTTTGTTTAGTAGGAGAATGAATACGTATTTATGCTTTTATGTGGGTGGTGGAAGTATTTTAACCTTTTGGTAATGGGAATGGAAATGGAATAGGGATCTTCATCAGACAGAGAGGCTGAAGTATGGGATAAAGGACAACTTGGTGCGCTTCAGCATTGGAATTGAAGACTTCGAGGATTTGAAGGCTGATATTCTGCAGGCTCTTGATGCCATTTAAAGCCTAAGCACTGCCCCATTCCAAATACAGATAATCAAGTCCTCTCTCTGTTTATTTGTCATCATCTTGCTTTGGTCTTGAGTGGTTGGTGCGTCGATTGAATCCCTTATCCCCATTCCCTCAGGAACAAAAAATAAACTCAGACAGACATTGTTGTTATTTTCTTTGACAAAAGACACAAGGTCTTTATTTTTTTACTACTGAAATAAGGTGGTTAGTCGTTACTATATGCATTTATGAACGGTAGAAAAGTCTTTTAAAGGTAGAAAAGTCTTTTAAAACATTTCAAAATGATGTCACAAACTTAAACATTTAAAAAAAAAAATGATATTATTAATAGCAATACAGTGTATGGTAAGATTCAATGCATTGTCTCTATTTAGTAAGATTCAATGCATGGTCTCTACATGAAAGTGGTAAAAACACAATCATCTTGATAGGATGTTTGACAAAAGCTTGAAAATGGTATGGTCTTTGTCCATTGCATTTCAAATATTAGTGGGTATCTACATTTTTTTAATTATTTTAAAATTTGTATTGCATTAGTTCTAATTAAGTTTATAAAAAATTGGATCAATTCAATATTCAACCTTGTTAAATAATACAGTTGAATTATGCTTGTGTTGAAAATATTTATGTTAAAATCCATTGATTCACCATATATCGTTTAAACCAAGAGAGATTATTGTTTTTCAATAGATTTAATCATTATAGATTTGTTTATAAATTTGTTCATTTGAAGATAGAAACACAAGTCAATCTTACATGTTATTTATCTCATCACCTATAGATCAACGCCATTCCTTTTAATAAAAATTTCGGAATAATTACTAGCATGATAGGATTATAGATGTTCCTTAATGAGTGACAAATCCAATGTAGAAGAGGAAGGTGAGTCATTAGTGAAGTGAGACAAAAATTGAAGGCAACCTTATTTTAATAGGAAGGGTCCCAATAAGAGCAAGAACAGAAAAATTATCAAAGCTTCATCATAAACTTGATTGAAGTATAGAAGTAGATGGATAGAGTTATGTCCCAAAACCATCAAACAAGCAAACAAAAACACACACACACACACACACACACACACACACACACAAACAAAGCATTCAACCGTTGATCATGCAAACAAAGCATAACACAGCACAGTTGGATGAGCGGAGAAGCAGCCAATGTGGGCATCCCAACCTTTTATTTAGTGCCAATTTGAGAACGCCCATCGGCCATCACTCACTCACTCATCCTCGTAGTTCCTGCGGTGGTGATGGTGGCGGCGGCTGTCCTCGTCAGAATCACCACCCTGCAATCACAAAAACCCACAAAATTAATACCACAAAACAAATCTTATCATCTTCATTTTGAATTGAGTGAAGTGAGCTTAGCTTACGTATTTCTTGCGCCCATATCCCTCTTCCCCATACGCATACTCACGCTCCTCATCCTCCGCGTAGCTTGGCTTCCTGTAATCCTCCTCCTCCGACCGCCCATAGCTCGGCCTCATCCGCTCCTCATCCCCATAATTTGGCCTCTCATACTTCTCCCTTCTATACCCAGAACTCTCATACTCCTGCTTCCCATACCCCCCACTCCCCTCTTCTTCCCCATAACTCTGTTTTCGCCCGGATCCGTACTCTTCAGACTCCGACTGCCGCCGGTACCCACCAGACCCATACGACTCCGATTCCCCCTCCTCTCTCCGCCCATACCCACCACCAGATCCGTAAGACTCCGATTCCTGTCTCCGCCCATACCCACCAGATCCATAAGAATCCGATTCCTGTTTCCGCCCATAACCACCACCAGATCCGTAAGAATCGGATTCCTGTCTCCCCCCATAACCACCAGACCCGTAAGATTCCGATTCCTGTTTCCGCCCATACCCACCAGATCCGTAAGATTCCGATTCCTGTTTCCGCCCATACCCACCAGATCCGTATTCTTCAGATCCGTAAGACTCCGATTCCTGTTTCCGCCTATACCCACCAGATCCGTACTCCTGTTGCTCGGACTCCGATTTCCGACCATATCCTTCAGATCCGTACTCGGATCCACTTTGCTGGTACCCATAAGCCGGCTGGGGCCTAGCAGACTCATAGCCACCAGATCCGTATTCTTGTTCCACAGGACGAGGCGGAGCACCATAAGAATGAGGCTTAGGGCGGGAGTAGCTGCTGTACTCAGCCTGGAGGGCGTCGTCGCCATAAGCTGAGGGCTGGGCATTGGATTCAAACTGGGGACGCTCGTAATCAAACTCGTCATCGTTGCCAGCAGAGTGCGGGTAGCAGGTATCTTCGCAGGGCGAAATTGGACGGCCATATGTCAGAAATAGGTCAAATCCTCCGCCGTAAGGCGTCGGATCGTACTCGTCGAAGTCATCCACCGCCTCATCGTCCCTCGTGTAGTACGGCATCGTAAAATCTCGTCGATCTGGAACGAACTGCTTTGGATGAATCTATTGCGAGAGGAAGAACGATCTCAAATTGGGAATTTAAGTACTGAAATGGAATTTGGATTATCCGTGACTATACGCGTCGTTTCGTCCTTTTAGGATAGGACAGCTGGTTGGTTACGCGTACAGATCGGGGTTTCCAATTTGTCAACGCTCTCATATAAAGCCTTTGACTTTTAATACAACACCAAAATAATTTCCATTTAATTATTTATGGAAAATAATATCTAAATTACATTAATAATTAAAATCTAAAATAAAATAAATAATAACATTATGGTATAAAAAACAAATGTAAGAGATATTAGGCATTCTTGTTTTGCTTCTCCTTCTTGTATTTGGTGTAATCCAAAACCAAATTTTGTGTAAAATCTCTCATACTTTCCTTCATCATTCCCTCCAATCCCTACGAATAACGAACAAATTAGCTAACTTTTATGAAAATTATGAGCGTTAATGGATCGAGTGAGTACCTTTTCTGCAAATGGTTGAAGAAAATCAGTGGGTATTGGCGAATCAAAGCTGTGAAGATCGAGAATCAAATGATTTCTCAGCATACTTTTTGATTCTGATTCTGTTCTAATCGCATACATAACTCCTTTTACACTGATTCTGAACATTTGCGGCTTGAAATCTTTGCCCATTCCCCTCACCTCCCATCTCATCTAATCATTTTTCATTTAAATGTTAATATTTAGATATCTGTCTTATATTATTGCCTACCATAACTATTATATTTGTCATTTTAATATTATTGCATACCATTTGAAGGTCAAGAAATTTAGAGACATGACGAGGAATATGAATAGGGTAATCTTTGGTAGAGCTTTTGCAACTTAGTCTCACGTCAACGACAGGGCTAAGCTTGAGGAATAGCAATTGAAAAGAAGGCATTTCGACTCTCCATTCACCCTTCATTGAAACAAACAATATCATATCATTATTACCAACACGAAGAGATTCAAACAACGATAAAAATAAAAAATAAAAACCTTGTTTAATTTTTCACTTTTTCCCGAAAAAGTAGCTCTCAACAATCGATCTTCGTCTCCAATGTATTCATCAAACGAAGCCTGCGACGATAAACACGATTTGAAGAACAAAAAAGATGGAAAATTAAAGAAAGGGTTTTGTTTGGTTACATTAGGAGACTCAAAAAGTGGATGAAAAGTGGAGAATCTAAGAGAGAAAATTGGTGGGTTTTGATGATTATTGTTGTTGTTCTTCACTGCAAAGCTTCTAAAACAATGCCTTTGCTGATGGCATTTCCTGTTTATAATAAGCTGTGGAAAGTGGAATGAAACAGCAGCCAAATTATGAGCCATGTCTCTGAAAACCCTTCTGCAGCACTCCCCAAAGATGCCTGTTTTTGTGCAATGAGAGGAAGAAAAGTACACAATGATTTACTATTGAAGCTTGAAATATATGAATGGAAGATGTTCAAATGATAGCACTAAGGTCCCCAACCAAACCACGTGGTGAGTTTGGTTGTTAATACCCATAGCTATTAATTTGTGTACTTTCCCAGCCCATTGGATGGGCATGTATCCAATTTTTGTGGTTGTCTACTGTTTGTCTGCCATTTGTTTTGCCCAACATTATATCATATGAGCTAGGACTTGTCCAAGATGGGCATGTTTTCAAAACTACTTTTTGAATCTTACCGATGGGTCGACGCTTGTTAACTATTCTCTTTGGAAAGCTCGTTATATGATCATGATCTTTAACTTTGTTGAGAAAGAGAGTTCTTGATAAATTTTTGTAACGGCCCAGACCCACCGCCAGTAGATATTGTCATCTTTGGACTTTTCCTTTCGGGTTTTCGCTAAAAGCTTTAAAAAGGGTGTTTTATTTTCCTCCCAACAAACGTGCGAAGTGGGATTCCACAATTTTATACCAATGTGAGAAAAAGATGGAATCTAAGATGAAATTGTTTTGTAATGTGAAGCTCTAGTTGCTCTAGCTCCTAACAACCACTTTTCATTAGACTTTTCTTCGATATAGATTCTATGTCGATTTGGTCAAATACCTAAACAATTTGACCCCAGGTATGATATTGTCCACTTTAAGTATAAGTTTTCGTAACTTTACTTTTGGTTTCTCCAAAAAAAAACCTCTTACCAATAGATTCCTTATTTATAAACTCACGCCACTAACAATCTTCATTGCTATCTAGGTTGAGCCATGGGCAATATAAAGCATATATGAAGACTTATTCTTTCAAGCATCTACCTTTTAGGAAATATCCAGCTATTGAAGACTTCCCACGTGATGGAACTGTTTTAATTATGATAGAGACAAACTTTGGTCCTACTTCCATAATTTGCTCCTTCTCAAATAGTTATTTATTTACGTTTATTCTCAAACATATAATCACTAATAAATGCATTATCAGAGAACATTGACATGATTAACTTAGAGAGATTGCTCAGAAACAATTTAAGATATGGACCCTTCACATATATCCTATTAGGAGATATTGCTAAGATACAATTTAAGATATGGACCTTTCACATATATCCTATTAGGTTCTTATTTTTTAAAAAAATTATTGTTATGTAATTAATTTCCAGCGGTGGGTTAAAAAAGGAAATGAATTGGAGATGCGGGGGATCAAACCCCGTGCCTCTCGCATGCAAAGTGAGCGCTCTACCATTTGAGCTACATCCCCATTTTTTGATATCATTGTTTCTAAATAGTTTATAAACCCTAAACCCCAGACCCCAAAATTATACCTCAATAAATATAATTTTTGTTGAGCTCGTGTAGGCAACACCGCAAGTTGACCCAATTTTTTGTTGATGAACTAATTGTCGATATTGGTGAGGAAAAAAAAAAAAGTAGTTTTGATCAATAAAAAAAATTACGATACACGTAGTTCTCCTCTCACGATTATATTATATATGTGTATATGCATCTCTGACCTCGTGGTCTAAAACAAAGCACAAGAACGACTAATATGATTTCAATATCAAAGCCTTTCCTTTTCCCTCTGATCCTCATCCGAGTTATTTTCATACTTCAACCTTTTGGGCAGCTGGTACGAATCACTCGGTCCTTCATCATCATCATGGTCACAACCTCTCTTACTCCCAACTCCTCCTTCATTTTCAATAACATCTCCATCTCGGTTATTAACGATGGCAACATCGTCATTTGAGGTCGATCCAAACTCCAACATTTTTCTTTCAACATACTTGTCGAACACCAGCGAGATGCCGATCTTCTTCACAGTGATTTCAGCTCCAAAATCAACGATGATCTCGACTTCATCGCTAGATTCCATCTTGAAGGTTTTGTTTGATAAATGGCCTTGCCACAAATGATCTTCAGTTGACATTACTACATCATTGGTAAGAGGTTTGTTGGTTGTAATGACACCCTTTGTGTAATTTATGACTGATAAACTTGAAAGGTCTGATGACACTGCGTTGTCAAAACAAGAAGAGTAAACTATGCACACAATGAAGCCTTCTAAATTGCAATCAGTAAACTGAGGCAAATCAAAGAACACTGAGTGACCCTCATCTTTGTATGCAAACCAATCTGGAATTTCCTTGCCTGGAACACAAACTCCTCCAAATCCACTAACTGTCCATCCCTTATATTCAAAACAACAACAAGTTTTTCAAAACTTCGCTTGAATTTTGAGTATCGTTTTCAAAAACCAAATGATTATCGAATTGTGCGAGATAAGGAAAGAGAGAGTACCAGTAGAATGTTTTCCTTGAAGGAGTTGGAGATGTTGCTACATCCTTCCATGTGAATGACTCTAATAGTGTCCAACAACATTTCCAAGCCAGGGATATCCATAAGTTTGGGGCAATTACTCACAGACAAAGTTACCATACGCTTGACATTCGACAAATATGGTGCCCTTTCTAATGAAATGCAGTTTGATGCATACAATGCATTCAAATGTGGCGGTAAATCTGGGATACATTGAAGCTCAGTGCAATGATCCAACATAAGAGTCTCGAGTTTCATAAGGCCACTAATGCTTGATGGTAAGCTATGGAATGAATTGTCTCTCAAATCCAATTCTCTCAAAGAAATCAAACTCCCTATGTCTTTTGGAATTGTGTTATTTGACAAGTTGCAGTTGTTTAGGCGTAGTGTTCTTAAAGCGTTTAAGCCTTGTAAGGAAGAAGGGAGCAGAATTGAGTTTGGATATTTGGTTGGTAAAATCCAAGACCAAAAGGCTGAAGGGAATGATTTGGATGGAGGCCCTTTACACCCACATAGAGATAGATATTTAAGGTTTTTCAGCTTCACAATAGTGGAAGGAATTCGTTGAATGGCTGTATCATCAGCTGTTAGAGTTATTAATGATACCATTTCTCCTAAATCCTCTGGCAAAGTACTGAGCTTTGAACAACCTGAAAGAAATAGAGTTTCCAGAGATTTTAACATGGAGAAACCCTTTGGAAGAGACTTGAGGCATTTGCAGTCTTTCAAGTTTATTAAAATGAGTCTCTTCAGCTCTCCAATGGTGGGGTGCAACTCAACCAAACTCTTGCAATCTTTGAGTTTTAGTGTCTCCAGATTGGGGAGTTTCGAGAAATCCGGAGTATACGTTAGGTAATGAGAATGGCTAAGATTAAGAAATTTCAAGTTCTTCAGAAACTGTTTACAAAGAGCGAGGAAGAAACATCAGATTTCATAGATTAAAATAGAACGAGTCGCATATGGTGCACGAACTAAAAAAGGGGTGTGTGTGTACCTTAGACTCCTTCCAAAAGAATCGGATTTGGCTATGTCTCAAGTCCACAGCAACCAATTTCTCCATATGAAAGTCTTTAGGTAAGAACTTCAAAGGAAATCCATGCCAACAGAGCCACCTTATCTCCTGAGAAATATGCTTGAAATCTCCAGTTAAGGTGACAAAGTTAAGTTGAAGTAACCTTAAATTCTGCATTTCATTAAACGCTTTTGAGCTCAGCTTTTCCTTGCTAAATCTTGGCAGCTTCAAACTTAGCCCTTCAATGGCATAAGTTCCCTACAGGACTCAAAATTTCCATGTGAGTACCCAATAAAAGCTTAACAAACGGAGAATTCATCAAAAAGTTTCTTTTACCTTATGTCTTGAAAGTACAGAAATAACTTCCTCATGAAGAACAAGTCTGCTATGTCTTTCAGGCTCTTTTGGGAACTTTTCACGAACAATTTCTCTCCCCATATCTCTTAGCAAATCATGCATCATTAACTTGTTTTTGTCGCCAATTGTTAAAAGGCATCTCTGAAGAAGAACACTAATACCAATTTTTGGAAAGAATCCACAGCCATCTAACACTTGTTCAACGTAGTTTTTGTCCACTCCAATAAAGAAACATGAAACATCAAGAAATATATCTTTGTATGTATGATCATTAAGCCCATCAAAGCTGATTCTAAGCTTTCTTTGAATTTGATCGTCTGGAATTGTCTTCAATTTGTTCAATGTATCTTCCCATTCAGCTCTGCTTCTACCAAAAAGGAAAGAACCTAACACTTCAAGAGCCAATGGCAATCCTCCTGAATAATTCACAACACGTTTTGACAGTTCATGAAAGGTTTCCGAAGGATAACTATTGCGAAAGGCATGCCAACTAAAGAGCTCGAGAGCTTCAGTGTCATCCATTTCATCAACGGAGCAAATTCCGTCTACTTCGAGTTGATTTAACAAATGTTGATCTCGAGTTGTTAGAACAATTCTACTTCCTGAACCGAACCATTCACGACTTCTTGCTATGGCATTTAACTGTCCTATTTCGTCTACATCGTCTAATATCAAAAGCACTTTTTTCCTACGAAGTCTTTCTTGTAACACGACAATTCCTCGGTCGACGTTTTCCAACTTAATCTTGGTGGATTTTGTGAGTGAAGAGAGGAGTTGTTCTTGTAATCGAATTTGACCACTGGGTTGCTTGGAGATGTCTTTGATATTGGCAAGGAAACATTTGGCTTCGAAGTTGTGATAAAGTTGATTGTAAAGTGCTTTTGCAATGGTGGTTTTGCCCATTCCTCCCATCCCCAAAATTCCTACAAAACGAACACCATTTGATCCAATATCTAAATGTGATGCCACAACTTTCACTCTTGATTCAATTCCCACTGGATAAAGAGCTATGAATAAGTATGTGCTGTTGAGCTCCCTTGATATCTTCTCAACGATCAACCTTACGAATTTGGCCTCATGTCTGCCATGAAGGGTTCAGAGTTACTCAAAAACTTAGGACATCAAACTCTTACTAGTAAATTTTCACTATCTTCATTCTGGACTTTTCTCAAACATGTTGGCTGTTATGAATTGTGGGCTAAATATACGTTTCTGTTACTAATTTGTTTGGGATAATCAGTGGATTCATATAGATTTAGAAGAGAATAAAGTTCGAAAACACAAAATTTCTACTCAA